TACTCCCCAGCATCCAATCCTTCATGTCCCCACAACTCCCAAATATCCCACCAGCCACCACCCCTGTCCAAGCTTCCACAGCCTCTGCCAGTCTCCCAATTATCTCCCTATTATTCCCACTCTGGCCTCCATACAATCTGTTCTCCATACAGCAGCCAGAGTGAACTTTTAAAATTGTAAGTCAGACCATGTCACTTCCCTGCTGAAAACACTCCCAATAGCTTCCCTTTGCACTGAAAATAAAATTCAAATCCAAACCCTACTACCTGCCTATTCACTTTTCCAGCCTCATCTCCTAACCACTCCTGATACCCTGGGCCTCTGCATGTGCCATTCCCCCTGCCTACGATTTGCTGAGATCTTTTCTAGACCAAACTTTTGCCATTCAGTTTATCCTAAGGGGCATGTTCTCAGAGAGGCCTTCCCTGACCGCACTAAGTCGCTTCTCAGTCACATGTCTCACATTTCCCCATTTCATTTCACCACAACACTGCCTGATATTTTCTTGTTTGGCTGTTTATTGCCAACCACTTCCTGCCCCTGACTAGAACATAAGCTCTGTGATGGCAAAGACCTTGTCTGTCTTACTCGTTATCTCCCTAGCACCTAGAGCAATGCCTACACACAGAAGGTGTTCTGTTCATATTTGCTGAATGAATGAATGAACTAATGAAAGAATGGAGGAATCTGAGACCTGGTTCCTCTACCCATGTTGGGGGATGGTGAGGAGTGGGGCAGCCCAAGCCTACCTGGTTGCCATTCTCTCCCTCACTGGACCCAGAGCCCAGGCTTGTCAGCTTCTGTGCCAGGTAAGCTGTGCCTCCCAGGCCCTCACCTGTGTAGAAGCAGAGCAGCCAGGTGCCCAGCAGCGGGGCAAAGGTCTGGCCTGGTTTGGTCACCAGGGCAACCATGCCAAAGAGGAGCGCCGAGGCCGCCTGCTTGCGATGGTTGAGCACCAGGTCCTCGTCAACCAGGTCAGTGATCACCAAGGTCAGTAGCTTACAGGTGCCCTCAGTGAAAACACGGTTGCTGCCAGCAGAGAGAGAGCATGGGCACCAGTGAAAGGATGGGACAGAATTGTGGGGGTGAGGGTGGGCGGGGGCATACCTGGCAATGAAGAGGCAGAGCAGGCCAGGGTGGTCTGGGCCAGCCAACAGCATGAGCAGACTGAGGCCCAGCTTGAGCAGGAAGAGCCCCTGCACCACGGTGTAGACGCCCCAGCGCTGGCACAGGGGCAGGAAGTAGAGGTTGTTGAGATGGGGAGCGACATAGGAGATGCCTGGGGAGGGAGAAGGGCACCACCATGTGAGGGGCACTGCCACAGCTTCAATGGTTATTAACATTTTAATAGTTCATTGCATTAAATGAACACTAACAATGTGCTAGGCTCTGTATCAAGAGTTTCACACTCCTTTATTTAATCCTCACAAACATTTAAGGTTATGAGGGTGCTTTAAAAAGACTGTGGAAAAATGGAATTGAAAGATAATATGAATCTTTCCATTAGCTTTTTGATGTACTCTCTTACTATTATTATCCCTACTTTACATATGAGGAAGGGAGGCCCAAAGACACTAAATAACACACCCAAGGCCACCCAGCAAATGAGCACAAAGACTCACACCAAGGCCTATCAGACTATAATCCTGGCTAACCAGACACTGCACCCCACTGCCTCTGGGTGGCACCATCACCAAGAGGACCAAGGTGAGAGCAGTCCTGCCCCATACACCCACAACAGGCTCCCACCTCTTTCTGGGGAAAACAGAGCTGGAGGTTGCACCTCCAACTCCCACAGCAGATTTGTCCCCACACTCTGCCACCTGGGCCCCAGCTGGTGAGGTGGTTGTGCCTTGGTTGGGCTAGGGGTTCTGGGGTGCAAGCCTCTGTCTTTCCTGACTGCCTGAGGCACCACTCACCCAGCAGGAAGGAGCCCATGGAGAGGGAGATGTGGTCGGACAACAGATGCTCCAGGAAGAGGGGGAAGAAGTTGCTGTTGAAGTGGCAGTGGAAGACCTGTGACCCGACAGGGGGCAGTAAGGAGGCTGCCAGACCAGGAGCCACTGGAGAGCCCACGTCCCCTGGTCCTCAGAGCAGCAGCCTTTATCCCCATGTCCTTAAACACAGAACATGCCAGAACAAAACCTAACACCACATTCCTGTTGCTTACCTAATCATGCTAAAAGTTAGAAGGCACGATAAAATGGTAATTAGAACAATTAAAAGTTTTTTCTTTTTAATTGAGAACACCTTAGTAAAACAAGTTTTGTGACATAAAAACAATTTATTTATAAACTTGACTAGCTTATATATGGTGTTTTAGGTGTGGCACTTGGTGTTTTAAAAAGATTGTTACAGAGTCCCCAAAGGGACCATCTCTCTTGCATGTCCTCACTTTATAGGTGAGGACAGGGCTGCCCAGAGAGGCTGAGTCCTGCCTAAGGTCACGTGGGGGGGTGAAGAGTTCAGACGGCGCTAGAATCCAGGTCTCCTAACGACCCAACCTACGTTCCTGACATCGAATCACCTAGCAGTCCTCACGCGTGGCCCAGAGCTGAGTTCCCAGCTCTTGAGAAACCTGTCTCCTTGAGCAAAGAATAGCCCAGCCATGGTGGTGTGCGGGGGGACTGACTGCTCTCCATACCTGCACCAGGTCCATGCCCACGAACCACAGAAAGTTCCGGTGGCGTGCCAGCTGCTGGAGGTATTGGCCCAAGGTGATGCTGCCCGCTTCCTCGCTGCCCACAAGCAGCTCCTTTCCACACAGGCTATGGGGCAGAGGGGGGTTGAGAACTGCCTGGGGCTGGGCCAGAGTCATCCCCACCCCAGGGCAGCCACCCATCAGCCAGGGCACCCAGCATCAAAATCATACTCAGAAGAGTGCTGGCAGCGGGCAGACAGTCAGGGCTGGCCACTCACCCTCCATCCACGGCCAGGGCTGAGCACCCTGGGTCCCCCCTGGCCGCCTCAACCTGCCGCCTCAGCAGTTGCGTGGCCCCCAGAAAGCCCAGCCCAGATCCGGCAGCCAGTGCCACGCAGAAGGCACGGAAGGAGGAGAAGTCTTCCTTGTTCCAAAAGGCATAGGAGGCAAAGACAGAGAGGGAGCCAGCGGCACTGAAGAGGGAGCAGTGGAAGTTGAGGTGGGTGCGGTCATGGGACGAGAGAGCCAGGTCGGCCAGCAAGGCATGATGGTGCAGGTCCACGAGTGTCAGGAAGCCATCGTAGAGGCACAGGCACAGCAAGAACTGCAGACCAGCTGGGGCCCAGGGAACCCAAAATGCCAGGAAGGACAGCGCCAGCAGCGGCCCATGCCATCCCAGTGCCCGTACCCGTGCTAGCACCACAGCCCTCGAAGACAGTCCGGTGCCTGAGCTGCCAGGGAGAGGAGGGCTGTTGGGAAATGCCCTTTCAGCCTTGACAAGACTCCAGTCCCCCCTGCTCAGGCCCCAGGGCAGGGATGGAGGCCAGAGTGTGGCACTCACACCAGGGTGATCCCACTGCGCCCCAAGTCCCCAGCCTCCAACTTAGGAAGCACAAGTCACCAGTAGGTACACACTCTGGTCTGCCCCAATCTCCTCTGTTACCAGCCTGTCAGGGCTGATGGCCAAAGGGTGAGCCATCACTTCTCAGGTTGGGGGCAGGGATGGGGTAAAGGAATATGCCAGAAGCAGCAGAGGGTGTTTGCAGCACAGAATCCTTAGGGGCCAGACAAGCCAAGTGGGGCTAAATCTCTTCCCTGGTGAGCAAGGCAAGGCTTAGTCAAGGCCACTACTCCAACCTGGACAGAGCCTGTCCTGGACCCCAGGAACGGAAGGGCAGAGACAACACTTGAAATGGTCTCCCTTTCTTTCCCCACTCCAAACACAGGCAGGGGTCCTCCAGCCCTGGGGAGTGGTGGGGTGGGACTGGACTAGTTATGAGCCGTCCCCAAGACACAAACCAGGGCTGGGAGCTGAGGAACTGCCGGTCACTGATCCAGCCGAAGAGGGGGTCATTGAGGCTGTTCCAGAGGAGAAACACCGTCTGCAAGCAGAGCAGAGATGGGCAGGTGGGCTCCAAGCAGCCTCCCCTCCTGGGCTTCCCCCATTCCAGCCTGCTCACCACCACTCAAAGAGGGCACCAGCTTCCCTGCCTGGAAACCTTTGTTCTTGCCAGCTCCGCTGCTAAACCCACTCTGCCAGCCACTGCCTCCAGAAAACTCCCACCCATCCAGGGCCAGCTGTGAATGTATCAAGCTGATAAATTAATATACATGGGGCTGGCCAGTTAGCTCAGTTGGTTAGAACACAGCCTTATAATACCAAGGTCACAGGTTCAGATCCCCGTACCGGCCAGGAGGCATCAGCATGGCCTCCACCAGCTTTTCTTGCTGAGTCTTGGCGGATAGCCTGGCCTGCCCCATTCCCCTAACTGGGCGGGACCTGGCCCCTGCAATCTGCCTGACAGCCCATGTGTCCCCTAGTTTCCCACCCAGGCTGGCCACCCTGAGCTGGCCCTACCTCTCCAACCCAGAAGGCCGTTTTGTTGATCTTGTACACTGAGACAAAGGTGTCCACATAGTAGAGCAGGAACACATTGTGCAGGATGGAGGTGAAGAGGGCCAGGGAGCCATAGACCACGGCCATGGGCAGATCCAACAGCCAGGCCTGGGCCCGACCCAGCCCCATGGCTGCCAGCCCCAGCCTCAGCCCCAGGAGCACGGAGGAGGGCTCATGGCCATGGGCAGTCTCACCATCCTTGTGCCTGGGGAAGAATAAGCCAGTTAGCAGCAGGGATCAGAGCCAGCTCTGCTCTTCATCCCAGACCTCTGAATCATTTAAAAACTCATTTTTACAGGGAGAGAGTTTGTACTTAAAGCTGGGGAATCATCAATGAAGTACAGCTGAAACAGTGCTGAGCTTGATACCACTGCTGTGAGAGTAGCTCGATGAACCTGATAACGCTGGTGCGAAGAGAAGGCAGGCATTCGGTGAGTGCTGAGCCAGGTCGCCCGCTAGGGCTGGATGCTCAGTATCCTCTTACATCTGCACTGTATGACCTTACTGGTCTGGACATGGCTACCCTGAGCTTGGGTGCACAATGTACTTATAACCTCAGGCAAGCTATTCATCCCAAGCCCTAGTTTTCTCTTCCATAAAAGGTAAAGGGGATGGTTATGCCTACTCTGCAGAGGAATGTAAGGATTAAATGAGGTAAATCAGAGAAAGTGCTCAATAAATTAATGTTGCTGGTGTCATTAATATCTTTACAGAATCCCTACAAAGTTTATAGCACTATTACAATGTTATAGGAGAGCAACCCCAAGCTCAGAGATGTTAAGTAATTTGATCAATGTCACACAGCAAAAAAGTAACAGATTTGAATCCAGGCTTGTCTGGCTCCAAAGCCTTTTCTGCCACTTAATCTTCTAAATCAGGTTGATCTGCTCGCTGATAAGAGTGATACAATTTTGACAAGAGTCCACACCTGATCCTGCACTTTGATTCTGGAAATTCTACCTCAAAGAACTAACCCCAAAGGAACGTGTACAGAGATGTTTACAGCAGTATTTATAAACAGCAAAAAGCTGGTCACAGGCCAAGAACATAACAAAGGGACTGGCTCAGCAAGCTCTCCAGAAAAGGTCTGTACATGGGTAACATCAACACGTGGGGAGAGAAACTCAAGAACATGTTACCCGAAAAGAGAACAAAGGACAGCAGACTCGTGCACAAAGACTGACAGCTAGACTGACCATGAGTGTGAAAGGGCCTAAAAGTCAGATTTGTATTAGAGAAGCACTTCTCAAACTGTGATATGTACGTGAGTCACCTGGGGACTTTGTTAAAGTGTAGATTCTGACTTAGATATGGGGAGGAATCTGAGATTCTGCATTTCTCTCTCTTTTTTTTAAAAGATGACCGGTAAGGGGATCTTAACCCTTGACTTAGTGTTGTCAGCACCACGCTCTCCCAAGTGAGCCACAGGGCAGCCCCAGATTCCGCATTTCTAACAAGCTCCCTGGTGAGACCAATGTTGCTGGCCCATGACCACACTTTAAGCAGTGAGGCATTATGTCTGTCTATTTTTTTAGACTTAAAGCTGTTCTCTTTTCAGAAAAATGATTTCCATGTATGCTTGTCTGATCCCTAGAAAGAATCTATGGGGGCTTCCTTCTCTCAAATTCTCTATGGTTAGTTGAACTGTGTCCACAAAAAGATACATTCAAGTGCTAACCCCCAGTACCTGGGAATGTGACCATATTTGGAAATAGGGTCTTGCACATGTAACCAAGTTAAGATGAGGTCATTCTGAATTTGGGTGGGCCTAATGACTGTGTCCTTATAAGGAGAGGGAAATTTGGACACAAAAGGAAGATGACCACGTGAGGACGAAAGCAGAAATTGCAGTGTTGAATCCCCATACCAGCCAGTGGCCCAGAAAAGAAGGAAAGAAGGAAAGAGAGTTGGACAGACAGAAGGAAGGCAGGAAAGAAAGAAAGTGGAGTAGTGCAGCTATAAGCCAAGGAACATCAAGGATTGCCCACAGCACCAGAAGGTAGAAGAGGCAAGGAAGGGTTCTTCCCCAGAGCCTCCAGAGGGAGCGGGCCCTGCTGACGCCTTGATGTCGAACTTCCACCCTCCAGAACTGAGAGAGTAAGCTGTTAAGGCAAGTTTGTGGTAGTTTGTTATGGAAGCCTTAGGAGACAGAGGGCTGCTGCTCAGAGAGCTCCTGTGACCCTCACCCCCAGCCTGCCCAGGGCTCATCCACATGTCTCTGCACCCACATGCCACATAGAGCCACCCACCAAGGCTTGTCTCTCCTCAACCCCAGTGCAACAGTAGCAGCAGTGACTCCATGGACCTGTCCTTGCCCATGACCCGTCACGGCCCCCGCTGCCCAGCCACCCAGGCTGCAAGGCCTCTGTCATGTAGCCCCGCCCAGCCTGCCCAGCCCATCCTCCCTTTCCTCTGCCCAGGCCTTCATTTCTCTGGTTCCTCCCGTGGGAAGCACCCATCCCAGCTGCATCTCCCCATCTTTCAGGAGCCAGCACTGTGCCCAGGAGAGCTTCTTCAACTCCTCAGGCCCCACTGCTCCACCACCCAGGCACACCATTTGCTCTGTCTGCACAGCAGACACTCCTGACTGTCCAGCCTGACCGTGGGGATGTCAAGGGCAGGGCCTATGTCTTTGCCTTCTATCTCCCTCTCAGAGAGAATGGGTAGACTCGACTGCTCTTGCTGGGGGAAGGATGACCAGTAGAGAGAGGCTCTGGGGGGAGAGCGAGGAAGGACTCCCTGGCTCATCAGAGAGCGAGTGGCCATTAACTCAAGACATCCATGTGCAAAACCCTCTACCACCACCACCTTGTGCCTCTATGCCTAATGGTGGCAGAATGAAGAAGTGGCCAAAACACCTGAAATCAGCCCTTAAACCGGCCCGAATTTCCCCCACTCACAGTGATCCTACCTCATTCCAAGGCAGGAGGATGGCCAAGTAGCCTTTTCCTGAGGCCCTTGAGCCCCTGAAGAAAATTCTTTCCTTTTTTTCTTTTCTCAGAGCTTTACTGAGGTATAGTTGACACACAATAAGCTGCACATATTCAAAATGTACAGTCTGGCTGGCCCATTAACTCAGTTGGTTAGAACATGGTGTAACACCAAGGTCAAGGATTTGGATGCCCGTACTGGCCAGCTGCTAAAAAAAAAATGTACAGTCTAAGTTTTTTTTTTTTTTTTTTTTTTTAA